TTTGGAGGAATGAGAAAAATAAATACAGGGAACGTTTCTCTACTAGAAGCACATGGCTCAGTATAAGAAGTAGACATCAGCCTTGTCACTGGTATCATGCAGTTTGGTTTAAGCATGCAACGCCTAAATACTCTGTGGTCACCTGGTTAGCAGTGAGAGGGAGGCTAGCAACTGGCGATAGAATGGTACGTTGGAATGGTAATGCTGATGTTTCTTGCGCTTTGTGTCAAGATCCGTTGGAAACTTTGCATCATCTCTTCTTTGAGTGTCATTATTCGAAGCAAGTTTGGGAGGTGCTAACGAGAAGTATTCTTGGAGTTCAATATACTACTAATTTAGATCAAATCATTAGTATGCTGGTGGGGAGGTTGAGTTGGAGCAGAGTGAAATTATTCACCTTAAGATATATCTTGCAATCTGCGATCCATTCCATCTGGATGGAGCGTAATAGAAGGAGGCATGGGGAGGTTGTTACTCCTGTGGAGATCATGATTAGAAGAATTGACAAGAACATGAGAAACCAATTTACGGTTATTCAAAGAAGGGGGGATGAGGATTATAGAGAAGGGATGTGTTTCTGGTTTAGTACCAGAGGAAATTAGAATGTGACTCTTTGTTGGAGGTTGGTCTTGGTATTTTTTTGCGTATACATTGGAGGCTAAAGGGGGGGTTGGAAAGATGACACAAGTTTTGGCCAGTAGGAGTGAGAGCTGGCACCTTAGTAGGAGTGAGTGCTAAGGTTGGTTTCTAATGAGATTTTCAAAACCAGTAGGAGTGAGTGATGGTCCCAGTAGGAGTGAGTGCTGGCTCTTAGTAGGAGTGAGTGCTAGGAGTTTGTTTTATCTCATTGGAAAAACAGGGGTTGAGTCTTGGATTGGGAATGAAGGGTTGAGGTTTTGTCTGGTCTTATAGAAAAGATGGGATGAGTGGGAACTGGCGCTACAGAAGCTTTGGAGATGATTGCTCTTATACAACATTTGTTTTGTTTTCTTTCTTTGTCTTTGGGTTTAAAAAAGGGACACATATAGTTGTAACAAGGTCTTTTCTTTTTGAATTAAATTTAACATTCAATTCAAAAAAAAAAAAAAAAAAATCTAGGGTTTTAGAAATCCTAAAGCTGAGAAGCTTTGAGAATCGAAATCTCGGGCTCATGTAGAGGTTGACGGAGTGAACAACCTTCGCTGAACTATTCAATGCCCAGGAAGAAAACGAATAAGAAGGAGTCTTCTTGGTCTAAGCCTTGGCGACAACTACTGGTCTCTTCATCAACCAAATATGTGGATCGGATTCTTCCAAATCAAGTCCACGAACGTTACTTTGATCGTCTTACATAGTTAACTCAGATACTTTCTCTCTTCTCAAAATCAAAAGTGTTATCCTCTTATCGCAGTTACTTAGTTCTGAAACTAAACTCTTTTCGATTGTTTTTTATGTCTTCGTGTTTCGACTATAACCCTAAGTCCTTTTACTTGAAGCGGAGGTGTAAAATCTTGTGTGAGACCCAACCCGTTACTAAAACCCAGGATAATTGGGCAGGACTACAACCCATGTATCCAGCAACCTAGTTTTAGTGGCCCATTTTCTATTTGCAAAAGCCTTTTTCTTGGATGTGCTTTCTTTATAACAAATCAACCAGGCAAACACTTAAATCACGATTGAGTATTGCAACTAATGAAGAACCAGCGGAGTGGCATTACATGCAAGTCTACATACACATAAAGGAAATGAATCAACGACGAATTGGCTTAGTGGTCAACATTTTATGTAGCCTAATATACATTTTGAAGTCATATGTTTTAAGTTTTGGAAATGTTATATTATTGGAACAAAAAAATGGTCAACATTTTATGTAGCCTAATATAGATTTTGAAGTCATATGTTTTAAGTTTTGGAAATGTTATATTATTGGAATTAAAAAAACAGAACTGTCTGTGTCGTTTAAGATGAATGTATAGATCTATATATGGACCCCCCCCCCCCACCCAAAATATATCATGTTAAAACACACACACAGATGAAATAATATGAACACTAACGATTCTTAAGATCGTAACAAGTTATGGATCACAACTAGCAGTTAGGTTTTCCTGCTCTTTCTTATGTTATCGATCATGCCACTTTTCATTTATGTATATTTGTATTCCCATTTGGGTAATGCCTTTGGTTGTGATGGCTATACAATCGACGTAGTGAAGGTAATGTAATAAGTATCTTCGGATAATCTTAAAAAATTTAATTCGTTCATTTTTAGGACTACATTTTAAGTTGGAAGCTTATAATAAACTCAAAGTTAACATGTACATGTAACATGCATAGATGTATCGTGTGTTTAAATGGATACAAGCACAGTGTCTGGACCACGATTGTGCTGATAAAGACACCAAGATTAGAAACAGATGTCGTTTATAGGACAAACGACAGATAAAAAAATCCTTAAGAATCTAACTAAATTTTCACAAAAAAAAAAAGAATTTAACTAAATCCATGAGAAACCCTAACCACAACTTTCACTCAGTTACAATGGGGAACCAAATGACCAAATCTCTCTCTTTTTAACGAACTTTTTTTTTTGGATATAAAACTTGTTTTTCTCACTTTATATATCTACACTAAAAAAAAAATTTCAACTAATAACATGATTCATCTAAGTTTTAGTATTGACTCCAAATTATGTATTGAAAATATACGTCTTTTTATATAAGACGACATTAAGTATATCACACGGCGTGTTAAAAAGGCATTTTACTTGTATTTTTATCAGGCAATAGCCATACACTATGTATATAACCTAATAATCGCACGGTTCCTATAAGGCTATAACTAGGAAGCTAGAGATTTACATTGAACTAAGATATATACTATAAGGTAAATAAGTACACGTGAGATATCGTATTCTAACAACTCTAACATGATATTTGCTTATATTCATGATTGTTTTTTGAGGAGCTGAGAGAGTGAAATGAACAAGATTCTTGTTTCAGACGTATATATGCGCAAATGGGCCTTAAATTGTTTTTTATCCATATACGAGTGGATGATTTCTATGATTTATGAAAAGGGGATTGAGATTTTAAAAAAGAAGTAGATTTCCTATCAATCATAATCTAGTTGGGTATGTGCTTAACAGAAGTGAGAATGCATTTCAAATCTATGTTGGATACTTGTCTCTCACCTTGACCATAGACTTTACAATGATATAATGTGCCGAGTCTTTGGACACTTCTTGCTTCTTGACCCATTAGTTTCCCTTTTCAACAAAATTAATTAACAATTTACTCGCTAATAACCATCCTTTCAAACTTAACCTAACGTTTTAATGGTAATTAATGAAAATGCCTAACATTTGACCTGTGAGGTAAGTATACCTACCATCGCAGCCCCATGTGCGTCATCAATACGTAATACTTTAAAGAAATGAAATCCAAAAATTAATTATTAAAATTAGTTTAAAAAAAACTATGGCTAGAGAAAAAGGTAATTCCAAAACGAAAGCCATGTGGGCTAATCCTTCGAGGCTGTAGAGCTTTTGTGAAACAAGAAGTGGGACTGAGAGAAGAGAAAAGATCACAATCACATGTCATGAGTCAGACATTGTACAGTTTTTTAGTAACTTCCATCTCCTCCTCTGTCATTTTAACCTATCCTAAATCAAGCAATCTATAAACAGTAGTAGCTAATAATCATTGTCAATAATATAGTATCAGTTCACTCATACATATTATTGTCATATTAATTATCGTTTTACTAGGCGGCACGTTCTCAATTTTTTTTTTCATTTTACTAGGATAACGAGACCCATTAGACGTCATCTATATGTATCTATATCAGTCATTTAATTATAGATGTGCATAGAAAACTACAAACTCTGAGGGAAAAAATAATTACCAAATGAAAGGGTTAGCTACATACGAATAATAGCCACATCCATGCAAGTAGCTAGTTTGATATATACATAGTTCTGCAGGGAAGTACATAATTTGATATAAATACCTTATAATACTATCCGTTTACATTCATCTAGCTACCCAAACTAACAAATCACAAGTTTCGTATATATGGACTCAACTTAACTGACATTCTCCAAACATTAAACCTTACCGTCCTATATTGTAGATAGGGATTGAATCTACTGGAATGACTTGATATTATCTAAGTAAAAACAATAGATTAAAGTAAATATAAGTGACTTTTAGCTTATTCAGTCATTAGACTCCAAACAGATAAATATAACAGAAACTAGATTATTAACGTTATACAAAAAAATAGATTAAAATTAATAATGCAGGAATGTGATTTAAAGCCGCCCAGTTTTGAATTGATTTTTTTTTTTCATCTTTCCCAGATGTTGGATATATTTGAATTGAGAATTTTGAAGGAATTCCGTTGTGTAATATAAAAGTTGTTTAAAATTTTCTTAAAATATGTTTTTTTTTTTTCAAATCTTTGATCAATGGAACACGAAATCTTGTTAAGTCACGTTTGGAACCAGCAAGCAAACGGATAAACGGGAAAAAAGCAGCTTCGAGCTCAACACCAACCAGAAAGCTAATTCAGTATCAAACCCAAAAATATTGTTATTTATTAATTTTTGATTTGACCTTTACTTAAAAAGTACTATATAGCGTACACCAATTAAAAGAGAGATAACTAGTAATACATAAAACTCCAACTACGCAATGAACCAAAAAGAGTTGTACTATAGATGGTTTCACGTAACGAATAATCACAAGAGGAAACTGAGAAAGTGCAGAAAACCAAACAATGAGATAAAATATCAGAATTTGAAACTGAAACATTAATTTTAACTCTCATTGATGTTAAAAAGGCGTACGCGTACGATGTGCATGTTAATCACAACCAAGTAAAACAACCTAGCTAAGGGAGTTTTATCAATTTGCACGAAGTTTCAAAAAGGCAAGGGCGAATACAAAAAAAAACAACAACAAAGAAACGCCTCTTATTATTATAACGTTGTAAAGCTGAAGTAAATATTCAATAACTTAATCCCTCGGAGGTGTGAAGAATGGCGTACCGGCTATGAATGAGTTGATTTGAGTCGGATAAAGCAACGAAGGATCTTGAATTAAGCCATTGTTATTGTTTCCAGCAATAGTAACCGCAGCTTTTGCGGCAGCCTCTTCAGCATTAGTGGTTGTGGCAGTGGAGGCAAGTAGATTAAGTTGGTGGTGGTGATCTTGATCCGGTCCTTGGTCATAAAGAATGCCTTTGAAGACATGTCCTCCAATGTTCACAGCCGTTTGATATGCATATTCTTGATCATCTTCATCCTCTTCTATCGAGCTCACTCGGACGCATCGAAAAACCGCTGGTGAGCTAACTTCCGGTGGTAAAGTTTGAACCGGCTCCAACCCTAAATTTCATTAACGATTATAAGAATAATAATAAAATAAACCTAAGCTTTTAGGCCTCCTTTTGTAACATGTTCTTAATTTTTATACCCAAATTTATCAAATAACGTTACATGAAATCGATCTTGGTTATAAACCCTTTTATGTCGTCAGGTTTACTAAGAAACAGTAACTTAGACAAAATAAAGCAGCAATATCCGGCGGACATCCTCATTCACACGCAAATGATGTTGTACTTCTCCACAAACATTCATAATTAAAACTTTGACTCTTTTCTTGAAGATTCAACCAATCTTGTAAGCTAGATTCAGTATCATCAATTCGAAAAACATACACAATGATCAAATTTTACCTGAATTAGAATTAGTATTCACCACACGGGTAGCAAGCGCCGATCCACCACCACCACTATGGTCTTTATCATCATTCTCACCACCGTTAACTCCACGTAAGCGTTTAGCGTTTGCGTTTTGTGTTTCACGGCTGGAGGATGAATGGTGCTGCAAGGAAGCAAGTTGAGCTAAACGCTCACGGCGTTTAGAAGCTGGAACCCAAGTGCTCTTAACGTGAGTCTGACAGTGAAAGCCCCGACTCTTACAACAAGTTCTACATCTCATATGGGGACAATCTTTCTTAGCTTGGTTCCCACAATCTTGACAATTCATACCTCCTTGTCTCGTTACAGAGAACCCTCCCGGTTCATGATCTGGGACTACGTTGAAGTATAAACCCCGGCTCCGGTTATTGTTGTTGTTGCTGCTTCCGCTTGGGACCATTCCAAAGGAGTAAAAGTTTGGAGGAGCTGTGACATGTTGTTGCTGTTGTTCTTGTTGTTGTTGGAAGTACTGTGGAGGCCAAATCTCGAAACCCTTGTTGGTGTTATAGATCTCGTCTTTGTAAAGATAAAGATAGTTGCTCTTGTCTTGATGATGATGGTGATCCTTGTCAACTTGATGGTGATCTTGTTTGTTGTTGTTGTTGTTGTCTCTCCCTCCTAGATAGAAAAATCCTGCCATTTTTTTGCCAAGTGATAATCAACATCACACACACACAATACAACCCCAAAGAGATCCAAGAAAGAGCCAAATCTTTTCTTTGCTTGGAGAAACAACTGAAAAAGACTGAATCAACTAAAAGACTGCAAACGTCTCCATAAAATTAGTCTCTCTTCAACATTTTTTAAGGACAACACACTTTTGATCTCTGAAAGTGGAAGTTGCTGAGTTTTCTGTGGATAGAGAGAGAAAAGGGTTTTTAAGACATGGAGAGTCCCATGAAGATCTTTTGCTTTGGGCACTTCACTACAGTTATCTTCCAGTTTGAATGAATCCCCATCACATAAATATCATTCTCTATATATGTTTAAAAGAAAAAGAAATACAAGCTGGCTTTATTTTAAGTAATTTTCTTACTTGAAATTATGCCATTATGTATGTTTATTATTTTGGTCTCAATGGAATTCACGAGATATTCACTACTAGTTTGAAATGTCATATTGACTCTACATTTTTTTTTAAAGAAAAACTACATCATTCATCATTATTTTCAATGTCGTTATTACGATTGAAATTAATATAAACGACGAAAATTGAATAATGACTATTGTCATCGGTATCTCAAGAAGCAAAATAGTACTTACTCTATTTCATTTTATATATCGTTCTGGATTTCTTTCATACAGATTATAAACTACTAAACTTCATATTTTACCCATAGTTAATATATTATTTTATTTAGTTATGTTAATTGATGAATTAAAAGAACAGAAATAAAATCAGTAAAATTATTAAATAAATGCATTGAAAACATAAAATAAAATATAAAGTCAAAAACAAATTTTAAATTCTACAACTACAATTAATTTGAAAAGTATTAATATGCATGAAAGGTATTACTAGTGAAATTATTTTTCAAGATTAAAATAATTAGTTTTATTTGTAAAACATTTTTGATGTGTGATTTAAATAAAAACAACCAAATTGTATTTACATTAAAATTAAAATAGAAGATAATTATAATCGCATTATGTTAATTTTTAAAGGTGACCATATTGCCACGTGTTAAAACAGGGAGTTTATCTCCACTTGTCCCTCCCCCGCAAAACCCTCTCAACCGTTTATTTATCCTTTCGCTCCCATTTCAATCTGAATTAGAATTATCTGAAACTATATAAAAATAGTATGCAAACATCAAGGGAATTGGCGTCAAAAAAATTACAGGAATTCGAAAAATAGAGTTATCGGAAGTCTTTTCCGAAAGACTTTGGGAGTCTAACGTCACATTGCTTTGACCTTTTATCGTCACGGACGGTCTTATCGTGAGGTTTACAGCTTAATTACGGCGATTAGACATTCATTGACACAGTCGAAAATATAAACTTTTTCAACGAAACCTACGTGCGCTAATTTCTCTGTAGTTTTATGTTTTATTCGTCTAACCAGGGTTACGTGGCACTAATAAAGGTTTACATATTTTTTTTTTTTTGGTGATGGTACTAAGAGCATCCGCAATGGCGGATCCTTAAGGGGAATCCTTAGGAAAAAAGAAAAAGTGGTATTTTGGATTATGTAAGAGTATTTCAGATTTTTTCTTTAAAAAGAAAAAAAATGACCACTCACGGACCGCCACGTGTGCAGTGGAGCCCATGAATAGTGTAAGGATCAATCTTTACATAAGAATTTTTAGGATAAAATCCTTAACTGTTCATGGGACCCATTGATTATAAAATTAATATTTCTCTAAGGATTCCCCGTAAGGATTCGCCATTGCGGATGGTCTTACTCAGTATTTGATAAAAAAAAAATCAAGTATACAGTATATGTGAGCTAGATGATACATCCATTCACTCGCGTAGGAAGCCTTGTTATTTTTTAAAACAGTAAGAATAATACCAAACAATTTTACAATTTACTAGATAGGTTTCTTGCCGTTAAAAGTGTTATTTTTCAATTCTATGAGGTCGAATTTATCAACTTATAAATTTTTATAACTAGCTAACAAAAGGTAAGTGAACAAAAAAAAAAAAGCTAACAAAAGGTTTGATGAAATTAATGTTTTTTATATATTGTTGCAAAAAAATTGTGGAGTTTTAACATCTGTATAGAATAATCAAACTGAGTGTCCACTGTATGCAATTTTACTTTACACTTTGAAGAAACCCAGCGAGATGTGATTCCGTAATTAAACCTCTGACCGGTGTAATAGATATGAAAAATAGATTTAAGAATTATAGCTAGTAATGTGTGCTGTATTTTAAAGGGATTCTGCTGGATAGCAAAACCCTAGTCTAAGGTTTAGCTCACGAGTCATTATTATTACTAGCCGATGAATGGATGTGATCATCTTTCATTCTTACCCAAACTATTACTTGAATATTACCATGTTCTGTATTTAGAATTTCTAGCTCGTTCCAGTTGAAGTAGAAAACTTGGCTTTCGCGCTCGTGTTTATAAAATTGAGAAAAAATAAAATAAAATGATATCTGGAATATTTTGCTCTTTTTCTTAGAAACGAAAATAGAGCAATGTAACCCATGCACATCTTCAAAGACAAAACCGAGCCACAATAACCCATACATATATAATTTGTGTGTGTATGGGTTATTGGTATGTCTGTGATCATAACATTATACTTACTTTTGTTTTAACAATATACATACTTGGATTGCTTAAAACCGTCAGTGGTTTTTTTTTTTTTTTTTTTTTTTAAAAACACCTTTCCTTTCCCTTAAGAAG